CACTCGGGTGCTAACCGAAAGGTCGGCGGTTTGAACTTACCAGCAGCTCCGTGGGAGAAAGATGTGGCAGTCTGCTCCCACGGAGATTAAACTTGCTGCTGTCGGGTTGATTCCAACTCATAGTGACCCTATATGACAAAGTAGAACTGCCCCCTTGGTAGCCCCATGGGGCAGTTCTATTTTGTCCTATAGGTTGCTATGAGTCAGAATCAACTCAATACCAACAGGCAGGAGGCTATAGAACCCTCTTAGAATCTGACAAAAGCTACAGACCCAATCTCCAGAAAAATGTATACTTGTAAACACACAAAAAATTTTCATACAAGTTCATAGGATTCTCAGACCCCTGCAACCTAGCTATGAATCAGAGGGTAAGAATGCCTGGTATAAAAATAACCTAATGTGTAAATGTGGGGAAGGTAGAAAAATGGAATACAGGGTTGGAGAAAAAAAAAGTGGGAAAACATGAAAAAAAAGTCAGTAGCTCCAAAATTGGGTGTATAACTGTATAGTTCTATATCCCAGAGTGATTTCACTGCTTAGATTTCATTTGATCTTTATAGCAACTTACTTAATAAAATGGATCAGTTATTACTCCCCAATTAAAAGACAAGAAACCCAAGATTTGGACTGGTGAAATAAGTCACCCAAAGTCAAATACCAGCACTTGGCAGAACCAAGACCCTAAACTAAACCCTTGTTTTCTTTGGTTACACACACCACTGACTCCTCAGCAGAGACAGAATTCAGGGAAGACAAAAGAAATGAAGAAAGGATGGGAAAGAAGCTAAGGAAAGAAAATGATAGAAATTAGGTAAGAAAAATAATATGATATAAAGAGTGAAAAGGAAGGCAAGAGAATAGAGACGAAAGATGATATAAACATAGAAACTGGGAAAATTGGGACTTTTTCTTCTTAGATGTTATGACAAGAAACTGTGCTCCAACTTCTAGCTGATTGTAAAAAGGGAGCAAAAAATTATCTTCTTCAACCTCAAAAACTACAGAACTGTAGGATACTCTCTCAGATTATGAAAACAGTAGAGAAAGAATAACTGAAGTGGAAAGGGGTAGGGGAAGAAATAAACCCAAATAAAAGAGGAGGTGCAGAACTCTGTAATGGGGGTGATGCCTTCTGGTGTTCTAGGAAACAGCTGTGGAATGACATTAACCAAAGGGGCCTCAGACAGCCGGCCTGGTTAGCTCTGGACCCAAAGGTGAAAGCGTGCTTATTTACAGTTATAACTTTATAAAATTGAAATGAAACAAAATAACGATCCTTGTTTCTTATATTACCTTTCTAGTGGTATGGATTATGATTTATGATTTTTTTAAGTCCCTGCTACTGCTTTGGACAAAGTTGATTCCTAAACATTGTTTCATTAACTTTTGTTTCTCTTCACACAAAATAAGGGATGTTTAAATTGCTATCCATGGAAACGGTAAAGCAGCTTAAGTTCCACCGGGTAGACTTTGTTAAAGAACAATATCCCCACAGAGTGGCCTCAAAACCTTACAGGAAAGACTTCCTTTATGTTAACAACAACAAAAAACCCAAAAAGAAGGCATGGCAAAGGGAACAACATCCCAAAGACCACATGCATTTCCCAGAAAGTAAAACTGACTCCGTCAAAGTTCCACTAGACAAATGTCATGGGCTTCAAAACAGTTTTGGAAAAGCAACTCTGCCCAGTGGTTGGCCCTCTCTTCAGGCTAGCGTGTCCGCTTCCATGAGAGAAAGGGAGACAGCCGAGAAAGCAGGGTGTGTCGGGGTGCAGGCTCTTGTTGCATAAATGAGGATGCATCCTGGGACTGAATTTAGAGACCTCACTGACAGGAAGTGTAACAGCAGCATGCAGAAGATTCTGTTTCTCCCATGAATCGAGTGGACTCGACAGCAACTGACAACAGCAAGGGTTACCAGAGATCTTTAGTACAAACAACAAAGGACAGAGCTGACAGCTTGGCTGGGGCACACTGTCAACCGAGATACAGAAGGACAGATGAGGTTGAAGATTCATCCTCTCCCCTCAAAAAGGCGCCTTTTACACATGTAGGCAGTCAGACACCAGGAGACAACCGTTTATCACAAAAAGAAGGCACAGTGGGACCATTAGCAGGGCTGCAGTTTAAACGTCCAGAGTGAAGCGTCCAAATGTGGAATGAATGGTTTCTGGAAAAATTTAAAAGACTGATAATGGGATGGAGGGGTTAGCACTAGCATACTGCAGTGGGTAAATGGCACTCAGTTTGCACTGAACAAACTATACTATTTCCCTGAACACTGTCACCTGCTGCACTAGAACTGGGGAGGTTTCATTGACTGGAACTAGAGGTATATTTCTTCCTCTGCCCCCTTTTTGCTACACCCCTGACAGCTACACTTGAGATCTCCAGAGAGACCCTCTAGGCTCTAGACACAAGCAACTTATTTTATCCTACGACTGTACTTCTAAGGAGCCCTAGTGGCATAATAGTTAAGAGCTCGGCTGCCAACTGAAAGATTGGTGGTTTAACCTACCTAGCAGCTCCATGGGAGGAAGACCTGGCAATCTGTTCCTGTAAAGACTGCAGCCTAGAAAACTCTATGGAGCAGTTGTATTCTGTCATATGGGATTGCTATGAGTTGGAATTCATTTCACAGCATACAACAACAACAGGAGAATATTTCTACAGGAAAAATAAAAATATTTTCACAGCCCTTTGGATCCTTTACAAAAAATGTGTCAAAGAGTGTGTTTTGACAACTATTTCTCATTACTAGTCTTACAAAGTGCATTAGTATTTAAACATTCAGAACCACCCTCATTCTAAAATATACTTCCTACACAGTTCAAAAAAAAAATCTAAAGAATTGTTTATTTGGGTGTGGGGAAAGAAATTGTTGAGGGAGGAAATACCTACAAGAAATATTGAAGCCAGTACTACTAGATTAGTAATGAGCTATTTAAGGATTTGTTGGCAACCTTTAAATGGTGTTTTCTTTTTAACAGCAGGTGTCACTGTGAGCACTTGAGGTCCCAACAGACACTGCTTTTAATGGTACACCTTCTGAGCAGCTGAAAATAGAGCAGGAATGAGTGCAACTTAGATGAGACCAAGCAAACAGATTTATTATGATGCTGGCTTGATTTAAAAAAAGAAAAGAAAAAAAAAAAAACAAAAACAGACTTACTGGACTAGTTGAGACTGAAGGACTCCCAGAGACAACTGCCCTGAAATACTCTTTAAACCTTGAACTGAAACTAACCCCTGAAGTCACTTGCGTAGCTAAATAACAGATTGGCCCACAAAATAATGACTATCACCCATAAGTACTATGCTTCTTTAAAAAATCACCTATATGAGATCAAATGGTCAACCATTACTTTAAAACAAAGATGAGAATATAAGTGGGCAGGGAAACTAAACTAATAGAAACAGAACAACCAGAATGGAAATAATGAGAAGGTTCACATATTGTGAAGAATGTAACCAATGTCCCTGAACAATTTGTGTAGAAATTGTTGTATGGGAACCTAAACTGCTATGTAAAATATCCCCCAAAACACAAAAAAATATTATTTAAAAAAAAAAAAGATGCCAGCTTGATTGATAAATACAAGATTCAAATTCGAAAGTTTTAAAAAGGAAGATTTTTGTTTTTGTTGTTGTTTTGCTTTGCTTTGTGTGGCTTTGACAGAAATACTGAATTTTAAGGCAGGAAGAGAGTTACCTTGGAGACCTCTATCTCCCACACTCAGGTTTTTACAGATGAAGAAATAGAAATTATTTCCTTGGGAAAGGTGTCATAACACATAAAGATCTCACATCTACCTAGTATGAGTCTAGTCCTCGAGAAGGCTCCACATGGAAAACTCTCCTAAGAAAATCGTCTACTCTTAAAATGCCATCTGGGCTATTATTATACAGGCTTTGTAGTCAGAATGGGAGGTTAATTCAATCTGTGCTGTATACAAGGACTTGGAGCACTAATGAAGGGCCTTGGAGATTATCTAGTCCAACTTCCTCATCTTTTAGAGGAGAAAAAAAAAAAAAACACAAAAGTAAAGCAACCAGGCCATAGTTCCACATTAGGTTAGCATAGGGTTTCCCAAAAGTAGCACTACTGACATTTTGGACCAGACACTTACTTTTTGTGGGGGCTGTCCTGAGCATTGTTGGATGTTTAGCAGCATCCCTGCCTCTACCCACCAGATGCCAATAGCAAACCGGCCTCCCAACAGTGGCAATCCAAAATGTCTCCAGACATTGCCAAATGTCCTCAGGGAGGAGGATGGAAGACCAAATTGTCCCTGGTTGAGAACCACTGGCACTGGGTAGAAACAAGCACAACTGTAACCTAATCTTCTGACTCCCAAACTAGTGTGCTTTCACTGACTCAAATGAATATTTTTGTTTTCAAGTAAATATTTTGGAAAGTAGGGAGAACTGATGAATGCATTAAGCATCTCTTATACTAATTGCATGTCACATGATGTTTTTAACAAGCTCTTAAGAATGAGTCTTACAGATATGAACTAACTGCATTTACCCATCTAACCGTGTGTACCTAATATCAATATAAACACATATATTTGCATGTGCATATACATGAGGCTGAAACTATGGAATCTATGAAACCATGAGACTCTCATTTTTGGTTAGGTAAAACACAGTAATGTCATGTTAAAAGATACTTCAGGGAGAAATCAATCTACACATGGTAAAGTTCTTACTATCCTTAGATAAATTCACTACACATTGTACCTAAATATAGAATCATCAATTTTTAAAAAAAAACAACAACAACAAAAGACCTTTAAGTTGTTTAATCATCTTATTATAACTCAGACTAAAGAGCTGAGGTTTCCTAAACTAGTGCTTCAAAACAGTGCTGGATTCCTCCTTAAACCCAGATGAGAAAATCAGGCTTAAAAATACACCAGACACACAGTTTCCAACACGTATGGCAGCCTCTGATTTCAGAGTTCCACGTAACTACAATGTTCAGATATTACCTGTTTCTCTTTTTCCGGTGTTCTCTATTAGAGTTTTCTGATTCACTACCACTGCTTGTGTTACAGCGTGAGCGGGACCTGACGACAAAGTGAGAAGAGCAAAAGAAAAAACCCACATTTATGACAAATGAAAAACTTCAGAAAGGTTCATGTTGGTTCTTTGGAACTAATTTTGCAGTACAACTACTAAGCAAAACATAAACTAGCTTTATTACCCCTTTCCCCATCAGTCGGACATCTGAATGCGTCTATAGCTTGGGGAAACAGCAATTCAAGGCAAACGTGGAAGCAGATTATAGCAAATGCCCATGTTCCCAGAAAGTACCATAAAAGCAACCACTTCCAACAGAACATGGCAAAACTGTAAGCTCTAAAGATACTACAGCATGGAAGTCTGAGACAGTTGAAGCCCAAACCTAGTTTTTGAAAGAAGTTTAAAGGGAAAAAAAAAAATTAGAATACTCTTACAGCAGTCACTAAAACAAAAACAAGAGAGTATTCCCCACTCTTGCCTCAATTCTGAGTACTGCTCATCTGCCTTCCTCTTTCTCCTTACCCTCCTTCCATTTTTGTTTATTTACCTTCTCCTTTGCTTTAGATCTGAGTCTTCACCACTGTTATGGGCCTTCCTGTGGGAGACAAATAAATGAAGAAGTTAAAGGAAATTATCAGTTGGCTAAGTACACCAAAATGAGTTTCACTTCAGTCAATGCATATCTGTATGTATTCATTCATTCACCAAATATTTCAGTCACACATATACACCAAGCCCTATAATAGGAGCCAGAAAGATAATTTAACACCAACTGATGCAGTCACTGGCCCCAAGAAGCCAGCAATCTAGTGGGGGCTGCAAACAGTCTATAAGTAATAATGCACAATGTGTCTGATAAGTCCCATTCTTCCGATAATGGCATTAGTCTGCAGTTCCCAGGTCTGCAGTCTGCCCAGCCAAATTCGACCATAATCTAACTGACATTAGCTTTCAGGGGATGCCTTTTCCAACACCCTGGCCTCAAAGTCCTTTAGCCCCATCTCTAATGACCCCTCCTACTATAACTCAGCAACCCATATCATGGTCACACTTTGGACCTTGTCATCATCTATAACCACCCCCAAACACATTGTTCTCTGACGACAACCTTCTCTCCTTCCTGCCTATCTGTATACGTTTAAACAGCTTCTATGAGGCATCCTAGTCAAAATGTGGGCTGTGGAGCCAGACAACCTGAATGTCCATCCCATCTCCTCCATTCAAGTTATGTGATTTAAACACGTCTCTACTCAGTGCCTTCATTTTAATAGACTCTCCCTCAAAGTGCTGTTGTAAGGATAGAATGAATTAATATACTTAAAATGTATAGATTAGGGCCTGGCACATAGCAAGCACTCAAATATTAGCTGTTATTATTGCTTATTCAACTACTTCAATTCTAGTCTGTCTTTGATGTCATCAGGATTCTCTGTCCATTGACCTTGCTACTTTCTCCACCAGCTCTTTGCCTTTCTTCTTTCTCCTTCTTACTCAGCTTAGATTTTCTGGTCCATCAATTCAATAACATGCATGCCAATACTCAAAACGTCAATGTTATTCGTCCCAACTTTTTAGCAAACTCGCAAGCATGGATGAATCTAACTATCTGGGCCTGCCCCAAACAGCTGGCTGAGCAGTACTGGAGAGAGTTACACAAAAGGGCGAATTAGTTACCCTACAAATCCATGATCATAAACCTCAAGTGGGTCCACAACATGGCCTACCACCTTCTCTAACCTAAGTACTTTGTTTCTGCAAAGTTGTTTCAAACTCTTTTTATCTTGTAAGCCTCTGACCCACTGTACCTCTGTGTCGGCAGATGACTTTGTTTTCTCCTTCCAAAGGAAAAAGTAGCCATCTGATGGGAACTCTTTCATCTTCCTGCTACCGAAAATAAAAACTTACCAACATCTCTCTGTTATTTATGGATCTGTCCTTACAAGTAAGTTCAGTCCCCCATCTCTGCTATTTGAGTCCCATCACCTCTTATCTACTCAGTGACTTTAATTAACTACACCTCCTACTCTCTCACACGCTCAACTTCTGCTGAACTCTTTTCACCAGTTTTTAACATTCTCACATTCTCAAGTCTTTCCTATTTGAACAAACACGCACTAACCTACTTTGACCCAACATCCCCCTTCAGCTTCTGCCAAATCTCTCCTCTCTCTTTTAAAGCCAGAATTCTTGACAGAGGTATCTATGTCCCTTGTTCCCATTGCCTACTGTCTATTATCTGGTGCCTTCTCACTCTAGGCAGGTGAACATGGCTCTTTAATGTCATCACCATGGGGCTTCCATTCCCCTATTTTCCCAATCTATTTAAATAACATAATATCAGTATGATATGGTTCCTGTCCTTACATTAAATTTTTTGACAATTTAGTATAAATACAACTACATAAATATTTTTCACAGATGATTTACCTCATGTTCTAGGATTACAATTCTATTCTTATACAGATTTTAAATTTTCTTAGAGATAATGGCCTAGCTTTCTATGTACCTATCACTTGCTTAGTTTTCTCTGTGCCTATCACTAATTCGTCTTCCAAACTTTCTGAGAGAGCTGCTAAACTCTTGTTATGGATGAACACTCAGGTAATCTGCCAGTTCTATTTGCATCTCTCCTGGTACCCTCTGCCCTGCTGCTCACATCTGGATGACTGCTCTCTAGTACTACTGCCCAGATGCTGTTTTGATTAACTTCCTTCACCATGATCTAGGGTATTCCTTTGCTTCTTTATGTGATGGATCCCATATTGCCAGGTCTCATATCTTCTTGTCTTATTCCATCATCTAGGTGGAGCATATATTTTTGTTGGTAACAGAGAAATTTTACATGACAAAGATACGTTTTTTAGACCTGGGATTCCTGAAAATGTCATTATTCTACCCATATAGTTTATCTGGGCATAGAATCCTAAATTGAAAATAATTTTCTACCAGAATTTTGAAGGCAATGCTCCAATGCTGCCTTCTTTCTCTGGTATTGCCATTAAGCAATCTGATGCCATTCTGGTTTGTCACCTTCTGTGAATAGATTTTTTCTCTCTCTCCTACCCAACATTTTTAAGATCTTTTATTAATCTATAATGTTTCCAAATTTCATGATAATGGACCTTGGTGTGGATTTAATTTTTCAATTTATTGTACTAGACATTCAGTGGATTCTTTCAATCTAGAAAATTATTATCTTCAGTTCTGAATTTTTTCGTAAATTATTTCTTCAACAGTTTCCTCTCCTGAATTTTTTTCTGATCTTTTTTTACTAGAAATTTCATTAGTCAAGTGATTGATGTTCTGGTTTAATAATTTTGTTTTCCTTATTTCCACACAATTACTTTTGCTGTTGTTGTTGTCTGCTTTTGGAAGATTTCCTTAACTTTATCTCCCAAATTTTCTATTTTTTTTTTTTTAATTCTGCAGTACTAAAGTTTTAAGAACAATTTCTTATTCTCTGAATGTTTCGTTTTAATGACAATTCATCGATATAATATTTTTCATTTTTCTATAGATAATAATTATTGTCTTTAGAAGGTATCCTAGTTATCTAGTGCTGCTATAACAGAAATACTACAAGTGAATGGCTTTAACAAAGATAAATTTATTCTCTCAGTCTAGGAGGCTAGAATTTTGAATTCAGGGTGCCTGCTCCAAGGGAAGGCTTTCTCTCTCTGTTGGCTCTGCAGCAAGGTCCTTGTCATCAATCTTCCCCTGGTCTAGAAGCTTCTCAGCGCAGGGACCCTGGGTCCAAAGGACGGGCTCCCCTCCTGGTTCTTCATTCTTGGTGGTATAAGGTCCCCCTGTCCTTTTGCTTGCTTTTCTCTTTTATTTCTCAAAAGAGATTGACTCAAGATACAACCTAATCTTGTAGATTGAGTCCTGCTTCATTAACATAACTGCCTCTAATTCTGCCTCATTAACATCATAGAGGTAGGATTTACAACACATAGGAAAATCACATGAGATGACAAAATGGTGGACAATCACACAATACCGGGAATCATGGCCTAGCCAAGTTAACACACATTTCTGGGGGGCACAATTCAATCCAGAACAGAAGGTTTCTCTGTTTCCTATATTGTCTCTGTTTCCTGTGAGTTCCTTTCTTTCCCCCTGTTTGTTTCAGTCTCTGTCTTTTGAAATAGACATCTGTCCTCAAATTCTAGGTGATCGTTGTCTCTCTCTTCATATTTAAACTAAAAAAGACTGGAAACCCTCTAGATGGTGCAGAACATGTCAATGATGGCTTCCTTGTAATATGGGGCAAAGTAATGTGGGGCAGTCTCAGCCATTTCTTGGAGGGTTCCTTGAAAGTTAGTATCTGTAGGCCTTTTCTCTTGTACCTCTCCATTTCTTATAGTGGGATGCTCTAGTCTCATACTTGGGAGATATAAGCCTGTCTTCTAGCATTCTGGAAATAGAGAAGGGAGCTATTTAGTAAGCAGATTTTTAATTGCTTGATTTTTCCTCTGGCTACAATTTCTCTGCCTCCTTTGTAAGCTAATCCTCTTTAACTAAGCCACCAAAACACTGGAGTTTCTCACAGTTCCATCACTGGCTTTGTCTTTGCATTATATCCATGCTATCCACCCAGACAGCCTCAGCTATATTACATAATTCAATTAACATCTTTAAAAAGAAGGCTCAAAAATTTATATTTCAGTCTGGAAGCTAATCTATTTGAAATCTGCCTAGAGTCCTCAAAGGTACCACAAATTCAATATATCAAAAACCAAACTTAGAGTTGTCTCTTTCAAGCCTGTAAGGTCCTGATGATCCTTTTTTAATCCATCATATTTTACAAGACTGGGTTTCATTCTTAATATCTGCCTCTCCTTCACCCCCTATACCATCCCTTCAAGTACCATTGATTTTACCTCTCAATGGCTCTTGAAATCATCTGCTTCCTTATGTCTCCACTTAAGGTCAAAGTTCACATTCTGTATTACCAGGACTCCCACTGCCTACATAGTCTGCTGCTTGGTATCTCCATTTCTACTTCTGCCCTATCTTCACCATCATTTCTCCTACAGTCACGGTCATCTTCACACAATGAAAATGTGGTGTGGTATTACATCTCTGTCTAAAAACTACTGGTCTAAGGATCAAAATGAGTCCCTGGGTGATGCAAACAATTAATGCACTCAGCTGCTAACCAAAAGGTTGGAGGTTTCAGTCTACCTAGAGGCACCTCAGAAGAAAGCCCTGGCAATCTACTTCTGAAAGATAATAGCCATTGAAAACCCTATGGGGCCCAGTTCTACTCTGCAACACATGGGGTCTCCATGACTTGGAATTGACTTGAGGGCAACTGGTGAAGGACCAAAATGCTGAACAAGATCCACATGGCTATAAGGTCTGACATCACCTTTCTCTCCTGGCTCATTTCTTAACATATTTCCCTTCACTCTTGGAGCTTGAGCAACACTGGTGTTTTTTCTTTTCATGAATGTTCCCTGCCCACTTCCATCCCAAGGTCTCTGTATATGCTAGTCCTCTGTCTGGAAGATCTTTCCCTTCTCTTTGCCTACTCTTATATCAGATGTCAGCTTAACTTTCCAGCCTCAGAGAACTCACCCATGCCCTCTT